TTGTCCTTTTTCCACCTCGAGGTGGAGGACTGGCCTATGTGGACTGAGCTCTAACCCCAACACTTGGAGCCCACCAGATGCTCCCAGGAAGAAAGATGAGGCCGCCTACTCCCGGAAAGATTTGACGTCTCAGAAAATCCAAGGGGAAAAAAAAGAAAAAGAAAAGAAAATCCAAGGGGCAGATTTTTAAGGCCTTTATGAATCCGACCAAAATCTTCACACGTGGACCAATAGGAGAAATGGAGAAAATCATGAGAAATGGAGAAAAGGTTGAAGTTGTCAAGGGTTTGGTCTTGCTTGGATCCACAATGGTGATGCAAGCAGCAGGCAAGAGATCGAAAGACATGTTGCATTAGGTAAATCTGCTGCACAAGACCTCTTTAGAACATTGAAAACAAGGACGTTACTTTGAGGACCAAGGTGCCCCTGACCCAAGCCATGTTATTCAGTTGCCACATATGCATATGAGAGTTGGACATTGAATAAGGAAGACCTAAGAGAAATCATTGTATTTGAATTGTGGTGTTGAAGAATATTGAAAGTACCATGGACTGCTAAAAGGACAAACCAATCTGTCTTGGAAGAAGTATGGCCACAGTGCCCCTTAGAAGGAAGTATGGCAAGACTTTGTCTTACATACTTTGGACATGTTGTCAGGAGGGGCCAGTCCCTAGAGAAGGGCATCATGCTTGGCAAAGTGGAGGGGCAGCAAAAAAGAGAAAGGCCCTCACTGAGATGGATTGGCACAGTGGCTCCAACAATGGGCTCAGGCATGGAAACACTTGTGCAGATGGCCCAGGACCGGGCAGTGCTTCGTTTCATCGTGCAGGGGGTTGTTATGGGTTGGAACTGACTCGATGGCACCTAAACAACATGAGTCAGAACTGACTGGATGGTAGCTATGTCCCCTGAATCGATGGCAGCAGAGATTGGAGGGTAACCATCCTGGTACAACCAGGCCTGAGGCTCCTAGGCCCTGAGTTTGGGCAGAAACAAAGATCCTCCCAGAGAGCTAAAAGTGTTCTCTTGGCAAGAGGGAGTTGATGTCAAGAAGTCCAGGAAGGAAAAGTATGTTTTGGAAAACAATGTATGATTATGGAAGAAATTGCACAATTATGTTTGACATGATTGAATTATAGAAGGATATGACATACATATTTGCTTCCAAGTTACAACAAATAATAATTTTTAAAAGTGATCCAGGAATGGAGCTAAATCCTAGCACCAACTTAAGAACAATTAGTTCTTACACCATGGCCCTGCTCCGTACTCACCTTCATGAAATGATCACTGAAGATAAATGTGCTACAGCAAAGTGTGGTGAAAAAAGCAGATGGTGCCTGGCTATCAAGCAAAATAGTGTTTGGGGTCTTAAAGGCTTGTATTCAAACAAACAGCCATTTAAGTGAGAAGACAACCAAGTCCACACGGAAGAAGCACACCAGGCTATGTGATCTAGAGACGACAAACACAAAATTTGAACATGGTGAGAAACATCAGAGAAAAATTTATGAGCACTCAATTTGTGGAGGATTATGGGGCACAGTGGGAGCCCAAAACCCATCTGCAGAATATCTAGTCAGGCTGAGCCACTGGCAGATCCATTCCAACCACAGGCAAGAATCTCGAACAGCCTTATGAACAGGCAAAGACAAAGACCATTGTAATCTTCATTATACTGGATCGACATGGATACTTGGCCATAGACAGGATTGGAACATGTTCTGGGTGCAATTATCTCTTACTGTTTT